AAATGTGTAGTTGAGCAAATATAAATACAACTCGACTAAGACGACTAAACGACCGTAGCAATCGACGGATTAGCATCATCCCAAAAGAAATCACCTATCAGTCAAGAGCTGTATAGAAACTATAACAACAACAACGAGAAAAAGGCATCATAAATCCCAACCACATACACATAGCCGGAAGAAACGCTGAACATCACATATCCTCACAAAAAAGGTAATTAGATCTATTATTTATTCCACGACTGCTGTTGGTTGGTATTTAAAATGAACATACATACATATTTATTTGTAAGCTATATTTGTATTATTAATAGTCGTACATACACACATTGTTATGAATAGTTTGTATGCCTCTTTTTAATACACCTTATATTCAGCAAATGATAAGTTCATGCCAATTCAATAGGACGAGTGTTTGGGCGTATACGTATTTGTTTTTTTTCAAAAATAATATTATGTATACGTTTTAGATTTATTGAGGCCCAATATTAGAACACATATGTAGGGGAGAGGGGGGCACCTTTGAACACTTTTTTCTGTCAAGCCTCATAAAAATGCTCATGTTATAATTTTTGGTTTTTTATAAGTTTTAACTAATAGGTACATATGTAACCTTTAAAATGAATATACATATGACATACTTTAAGCTTGATATACATATTTTATTACTGTTTTAATGGAAAAAGTCAAAGTGTTCAAAACTGCCCCCCTAGGGGGGCACCTTTGAACAAAGCTTGGTATTTTTGAACGGCATGGTTTTTTACAGTGTTTATGTTCAAATATATATGTACTGTATTCATATATATCAGAAATGCATTTATTTATTAAAAAATATATACAAAAATATTCGAAAATTAAAAAATTCTGATCAAAATTTATTAAAGCATAAAATTACTTAAAAACAAAAATGTATATGGTGAAAAATACAGCTTATTTCGTAATCTTATTAGCCCATTTGAAATTTTTGAGAGATCGAAGCCAAAAGTTAAAAACTCCTTTTTTTACTGGAGTTTACTGGTATGTTCAAAGGTGCCCCACCTGTGGTATTTTACGGAAATTTATAATAACTTTTTTTGTAATAAATATATATATGAAAGAAAATACATTAGATATGTTTGAAATGATTATTGGAATGCAAAAAAATTGTTTAACGAAAGAAAACTTTCACAAAATTCTTCCTGCGCCCTTACAAACAAATGAAAAAAAGTTTACAATTACACTGTGAAAACATGGTCACCCATATACAATTTGTCGACAACTGAAAAAGCTAGCAAAAGTGGTTTACGCAGATGAAGAACACGATTGGCACATAAAAAAATTTGGTTGCTGGTCGGAAAAATTTTAAACCAAGATTTTATGAGCGCTGTTCAAAGCTGCCCCACGTTCAAAGGTGCCCCCCTCTCCCCTATGTACCAACATACAATATCATATCAAGAATATTGGGCTTATTAACATTTCACCAGCTATAAATTCATATTTATTGCTCCACAACGACGGAAAGTAACGTTTCATATATATTACTTATGTTTAAATATTAGAAAAAAAAACAATTTTGGAAATAATAGATCATCAACTTTTATTACACAGAAAAACGTTAAAAATTTATTAACATTCGAATATGTCAGTGTGCACTGGAAACAATTTATCCACAATATTTCTTCAGAAGTTATCGTTGGATTTTCATTAAAGGCAAGGTGTATTAAATAAGGTGTAAGTGACAATCATATGGTTTTAAACTTTTTTCTCTATTGTTTGTAAAGTAAATTGTCAAAAACATTTTCAACAATTAATTACGATTTACAAAATTGTCTTTAAATTTAGGATTTTGATAAGAAATATATTCATAGAGATGGACGAAAAGGAAACCTAGGCTTAAATCAGTTTTAAAACCGTTCGCTGATTTGATCCAAATATTTTATGTTTTGTATCCCGTGTTGAAATCTGTTCATAAATCCTACCTACACATACGTAGCCTATATTGGAATCTGCCTATTGGTATCTCCAAGAATCAATCCAAAGGTGAAAGTCCTTGATATACTCCTATAGACAGATTGCACAAGGGCAACACAATTTCCTTGATTTAGTCTTTGGCCGGGGATTTATGCTCACCAAACTTTCTAAAGAGGCGAAATTTGGAGGAACCAACGGCTACACGTTGGAAAAATTTAAAAAAAAATTCGTGACCGGGTCTTAAACTTCATTCGCTAACCTCAAATTGCCAATATTCCAAGAATATACAAATTCATTAATTATTCATCAAAGAATTGTTCTTGACAAAAATTAATGAACATAAATGGAAATATGTTTTTTTTTTATTTCTACCAAAAACTAATTGTCAACATGACAATTTAATTTTTATAACAGCAATGTTGTTTTTGTAAAATGTTAGTTGTTGTAGCTGATGCATACACCTTATTAAATACACCTTGATTAAAGGTTTGGTTTATATCAGGTTATGTATATGAAGTTAGTATCGGATTGAATATTGCATCTAAAATATCGTCATCATATAGCTGGCTTAATATGTAAAGACAATGAGTCCATATTTTAAAATTTCACAGAAGAGATAAAAAACAGAAAGCGACATGTGATAAATTGGGCTTAGCGCCTTTAATCATCACTACAAAACAACAACTAAAAATAACATAATTTTAGATTTTTTTTTATTAAATCGATGTCTTTTTACTTATTGACCATGTCTGTATCAAAATCTCAATTTCTAAAAAACAAGTAAAAAAAGTGTCAGTCGGTGTTGCCGATAAATATATTTCCTCAGCCTATGGTATGCCGACGTCTTCGGAGTTACAAACAGGTTTTATTATTCGGTTTATATAAGGTATAGGTATGTTCTTATGAAAGAGGTTTCGGGTTTAATGTTGATCAAATACACTTCAAATAAAATTTACAAGTTTACATAATATAGACTCTTTTGGGGGAGGTACCAGAAAGAGTGGACCAATGGGTCCCATCTTCGAACTTGATCAAGGCTTGGTAAGATAATTGGTTGTGTAAAGTTTGTTTCTAATTGGACGGTCCTTTCGCATCAATCGAATCGGACGAAAATATATATTAGGGAGCCATAAATGTTCACCGATTTCAATCAAACTTTCGTCTCAATCTGACAAACATTGTGACTTTCGTGCTGTTAAATTATACAAACAGCCGCAGCTCGTCTGTATAAAAAAGACACGGCGCGGACACGGCGCGGACAGACAGCCGCAGCTCGTCTGTACTGTAAATAAACTAAGACACAATGCTCCCGACCGTTCTATGTTGAGTGATTTTAAGGTACTGATTTTATTGTAAAATATTTATCCTAAGGTTCTACTTAAACAACACTTGCTTAGCCTAATCTCAAACACAAAATACTTATCAAAAACTATTTGTTCTAATAATAGAATTTGATCTGTGGAGAGTTTTCCCATCGTGTGCGTCATAAAATCTCAACACCTACAACAACAGTCTTATCAGCGTTGCATGTGGGATTTTAGACTCTTATCTTAAAACACTCCAACGATCAAATCTTCTGTAACATAAAATTCTGTTCAAAGTATTTTGAACACGTGCATTATTCTAATATCGGAAGCTATTCTTGACCGATTTCAATAGGGACCGTTCATCCAATTGGGATAATAAATGCGACCTATATTTTGCGACCAAATGTTAATTCACATTTTGTCGCATAACATACCTAATTTTTTGATTTTGTGTTTTTATACGCTCAGCCTTATGGCTAATGGGGTGAAAATGTGAATCATCGAAATATTGGTTTTAGACCCCATATTTCTTTGGACCAAATCCGTCGTCCGTCTGGCTGGTGCGCACCATAACTTTCGAAGGCAATAATCGATTTCAGCCTAGATCAAGCAGGAAGATGGGACCCCCACAGAGGGTCAACATTTTCAATATTATAAATCCAATATTAGACGAATGGAATGTCGATTTGAACCAAACTTTGCACAATCCATTATCTTTACTAAGCCTAGGTCAAGTTTGAAAATGGGACCCATTGGTCCACACTTTCTGGTACCTTCCAAAGGGTCCAAATTTTCAATATATATAAATCCAACATCAGGTGAATGGGTCCCCCCAAAGTGTCAAATTATCAATTTTTTAAATCCAATATCAGGCGAATAATATGTCCGATTTGAACCATATTTTGCACAATCTATTACCCTTACCAAGACTACATCAGGGGACCAATTGGTCCACCCCTTGTGGTACCTCCCACACAAATAGTCAACATTTTCAATATTTTTAATAATACAAATAATAAGACCTCTGTATAACTCCGATGACCTCCTCCGCAAACCATAGGATGAGGGTATATTCCTTACATAGTATTAAAAATAAATTCCAATTAAATGCTAAAATTAATTAAAAGGCAAATCTTGAACTGATACGTTCATTACTTTCGAATATAAAAACACTTCTAAAAACGTTTAAAAAAGAAGAGAACATAGAATATAGATTGAAATGTCTCTAAATACATAGCATTTTAAACATTGCGGATAAGATATCCGTTTGACTGTTGCCCAATTTAAATAACCACACTACACAAGTTTCCCACTTTCGCTAATAAAAATCGCCATCGGATTTGATAAACTTTTTATACAAAATATTCATTTTGAATTTTTTTTTTACAAATAACAACCAATAATAATTGACCATGTATTTTGTTTCTTCTATTCATATAGGATAACTTTAAATACTCTTCGAAATATATAAACGAAATTCAGAACAAACAATTTGAAAACTATCTCAACGCAAGAAAAGAAAAAAAGATAAGAAAAAAATCATATACTGTGTATATAAACGTACAAGCGGAAAACGGAATATTATTTGTTTAGTTCTATTATGAAACATTGAATGTGATATTTGAAATTACAATTGTACATCCATTTAAAACAAGAGGACAATTCTTATCCACATATATTCATAAACCACACACACACACCTCTGCGCATTATTAGTATAACCAAAGAACTGCATTGATCAAAATGGCTGAAAAAGTTGAACAATCACAGCAAATGAATAGTGCTCACAATGAGGGACGGAAAATTCGCAAATCTCCCGAATTCCAACCTCAACAACAGGTCATTGTACCGGCCAGCATAACCCGAGAAAGAAGTTTCGTTCGAACATCCAGCCAGCAAGTAAGAATTTGATTTTTTTGTTTGGATTCTCGAAATAGCCTTATGGACATACTCTTAATCGTTATTACAGAATGCAAACAAAAGGCGTAGCCTGGCATTTAATATTCAGAGTGGAAGTACCACTCAGGGTGGACAATTGAGAGGCAAACCAACAATGGACATTTACAGGCCACCAAGTAAGTATTATACAATTTCATTTCAATTTTATATTATGATGTAGCCGCTTAATCTCTACGTTCTTCCCATGTTTTACTGTTTTTACAACCTCCACCTCGAAATAATCGCCGAAGATCCTATATTTTATTGAACAGAATAAAGTTCTATGTCGATTTAGGAATGCCCATCTATGAAATCACGATATAGATCGGAATGTTTAACTCATTAAGAGCCAACTGCCTCTAAAATTCAAAGTTATTAAATCTATATGAAAATTAAAAAAAGTATTTTTTCAATTCAATTTATTAATCAAACAACTTCTCATTGGGTTTCAAATTGATAGAAGGCGTATAATAAAGTATCTTATATATAAAATTACAAACTGAAAATTTCCTATACCGTAATGTATATTTATTAATCAAACAACTTCTCATTGGGTTTCAAATTGATAGAAGGCGTATAATAAAGTATCTTATATATAAAATTACAAACTGAAAATTCCCTATACCGTAATGTATATTTTTAAAATTATGTGGTGAGATTGAGAAATGTTTCAATCCAGGGTTCCACAAAGCGTTCAAAAAGAATTTGAGAATTTCTGTTAGAAAGCAAAAATCGGAAATTATCAGCAATATAGTTAGGTATACCATATTTCATGGTTTTAAAGAAAAAAATATAAGAATTTTAAATTTTTTTAGGCCGAACTCAACCAGTGCATAAACATACCGTCAGCTAAAATGCAAAAAGGCGTAACTAACAAAAAACTGAAAATTGACTTTTTGAATGAATATTGTTAATGTCAATAAATGACATGTGTTGACAAAGTTTTACACGTCTGCGGTCAAAAAAGGAGTTTCTATTAACGGAAAACAAAAAGACGTAACTACAAGTGGGTTTATTTGATAAATGCAAAAAAGCGTAACTAACAAAAAATTAAATTTTTTTACTTAATTGTTATGACTGCCATTAAACTAAATAATTAAATTTGTTAAAAAAATTATAGTCTATTATTCGTCATATGCAATATCACCCTGCCGGGCATATTTTTTCATTTCACATGACACGTTTATAGTTTTCATTCAAAACAGTTTTTTGCTTCTCCTACACTGTTAAAGTGAGATATTGAAACCCAACCTTTTTGTTCGATTGTAGTTTCAACTCTAATTTATTTATGAAATATTCTGACTTAGGTACTATATAAACTAATCTAACTTAGCCTATCTTAAACACATAACAACTATCAGTTCTCACAGTGCATATGGTGGTTGCGTTCATTTGTTTACGTCAAATGAGCGCACCAAAATCTTTGTGTGTGGACTTCTATTGATTCTTTATTATCAGCGCACACCCACAGATCTTGTGACTGCATTGGCCACTTATCATAAAACCACTTGAACTTCATTTATGAAATGCATAAATATGAAGTGATCATAAAATAAAAAGAATGAAGCCGAACATGTTCATATTTTTATGAACATTCTCCCGGCCGGCAAATATTATTCTAGATATATTGTGCCCGTGGAAACTTATTGCTTAAATGGAGATGATTCTTCATCTAAACAGTTCTTTTTTGAATATGAATTGAATATGGAAAATATAGATATTGTTATAAGTAAAATATGCTATGAAATATAAAATTCATAAAATTTAAGCGATGAGTTGTTTTGTAGTGGACTGTACCGTTACCGCTATCATTATCGGTTGTTGTTTGCCTTTCTTCTGCCTTTTCAACTATCTCCCCAGCTTTCGGTTTATCATATGTGGTTTGACTAGGTCGATCGGTTCCTGCAGCTTGTCCTATAAGGCTTGGATTTGTGGTACCTCTAGCAGCACTGTGGGCAGCAGCTTTTTCCGCTGCCATTGTCGTGTTGGCAGCAGCCAGGTGAGCCTGTTGTTTCTTCAACATATTTGGAATAGTGTAGGTCATACTTTTATTGAGGAATCGAGGAGAACCTTCATGGAAGTCACCACCTCCGGGTTGTGCAAATTCAATAGAGCTGGTGGATGATGTGCTCTGACGCCGTGAATTCCTGGCGCACGTTCACCATGTAAAATGTGATGTATCATGAAGCCAGGTGGATCCCGTAAGTAGCTAGGTGGCCTAGATGGTCTACTACCAGTTGCTAATTTTTCGAGTACTTCCGGTACATCACGTTTGTCGCGTTCCCACCAGGCTTCTGGCCGGATTCAGGATTTCCGGAAACCTCATTTTGGACCTCTTCTGCATCAGAGGCATGCGACGATGGTTCTGGTTCATCATTGGGACATTCACGTCTGACATAATCACGTGCACGTCCTTCTGGTTCCAATAGCCATGGTTCATGACCGCCACCAACCTCTCGTCCTTCCTCAATGAGGGCTGTCTCGTAAGCTCGTCCTCGATCATCTTCGTCTCGGAGATCGGCACGCATGCGACTATCACTGGAACTGGAATATTCTGATGGGCTCATTTCTCGGCGTCGTCCAAGATATTAACGTTCTCGTAAGCCTTTCTCACGTTCCAGAATCGCACTGCGTTCACCTTCTTCATTATCTTCTTCGGCTCTGATTTTACGCTTGGCTAGCGGTATTTCTTCGCAATCTTCTTCATTCTCGTCGTTGTTTTCTTGATGTTGGTGATGGTGTTGTTTGGATTTACGTGCTGCCAATGACCTATCCTCATTATTGTCATCATAGTTTTGTTCCTGTGATGTGTCTCGTTCCATTTCATGAGAATCTTCCTTCTAATTATAGCTTGCCTCCTCTTTGGCCACAAATACCGGTTCGTCCTTTTTGAACTGTGACATGGAATAATCACATGAACTTGTTTGCGATACATCAAAAGTAGCATTCATTTCGTAATGTTCCTGTAGTCTTTTCTCTTTTAGTATTTTTTGCAATTGCTGAATTTGTTCCTGCATGGCTTGCATTTGTTTTTGGAAGCTCCTAAATTGTTCGACTTCTTCTTTTTCGTTTGTGATGTTTGTGTATGATGCTTCATGCTTGTTTTCATGCTTCACATCTTCCATTTTAATGTCGGCCAAGACATTAGTGAAGCCATTTTCTGGAGGCTGTGATAATGACGCTCGAGTGCACTTGAGAACGCTACGGATCGTAAACCTCTCTGTCGTGGAAACAACCTCCTGTTGTTGTTGTAGCAGCCCTATTGCTTTTGGGTCGTCTTGGATCGTAGACCCTTTTGTCATGGAAACAGGCTCCTGTAGTAGCTGCTGCTGTTGATTATTGTCCTTCGAAATTCTAATTTCATTACTTGCCGCTTTTCCTATTCCTCCAATGTGAGGAGCTTCCGGCGGGATGAAGTGCCCGCAATCATTCAGCCATTCGAATTCCTTTACTATACCTATTATGCTTACTAACTCCAGGATTTTGGTGTCAAACTTGGCATCAACTTAATCAAATTTCTCCTCTACCTCTTCCATTAAATGCACGGTTGGGAGTTCGAAATATAGTTTCTCTAAGACATTCCTCTGTCTCTCCCACGATACCTTCCAATACTCCAAAACCTTGCTAGGTTTTCCAAAGAAATCACTTTCAAGGGCATCGGCGAGTTTGGAAGCCTTTTTCCTGAATCGGGATATGAGGGCTCTTTCTTGTTCCTGCATTGTCATCCTTCTTTATGCGACACTCTTCGTTTTTTGCTCAAAGGGTCTTTTCCATTAATATTATTATATTTTTTTATTTTATGTTGCCCAAAGGGTCTTTTCTACAAATATTATTTTTTTCTTTACTTAGTTTTGCCTCTCGGGTCTTTTTTAATTTGCCGCTGGGGTCTTTTTTTATTTTTCTATATGCCTCTGGGGTCTTTTTTTAATTTGCCGCTGGGGTCTTTAGTTTGCCACTGGTGCCTTTAATTTTGCCGCAGGGGTCTTTAATTTTCCACTGGGGTCTTTAATGTGCCACTGGGGTATTTAAATTTGCCACAGGGGTCTTTAAATTTGCCGCTGCGGTCTTTAAATTTGCTGCTGGGGTCTTTTTTAATTTGCCGCATGGATCTTTAAATAATAATTTTATTTGTATAATTTAAACATAGGAAAATACAGAGGACTTGTAAGGTCGAATGTCATTTCAAATCTGATTTTATCATTTAAAATTATTCCTTAAGAACTACCTAAACTATTCTAACTTAGCCTAATACACATAAGAGATAACATATGCTCATTTGTTTACATTACTAAATGAGCGCACCAATATCCTTGTGTGTGGGCTGTTATTAATTCTTCATGATCAGCTCACACACACAGAAACCCACATTGAAGTGATCTCTATTTACTCACCCGCTGAGCACATGTGAATGGAGATATCCTTTATTAGCTATGCATCTTCAGCAGCGTTGAGTGTTATCATCCCTTATGCGCATACATGCCCACACATATAGAATTTAGGACTGTTTATCTATTATTTACGACATATGTAAATGCCTAAAACATCCTAACTAATACAACCAAATATCATGTTCATATTTTATGAACATTCTCCCGGGCGGCAAATAATCTATTTTTAATATGTTGTGCTCGTGGGAAGTGATTTCTTAAATATTAATTTAACATTGAACATATGGATATTATAAGTAATAAGTGGCGTCTCTCGGCTTTGTTGATCGATTTGTTCTGGAGTACATTCAGCAGCATTACCCGTTGCTGATTGTCTTTCTTCTGCCCCTCCAACAATTTCCCCAGCCTCTGGTTCATCATCAGGCTGTCTTCATCTTCACTTTCTTCCATCTACCGTTTTGCTTCAGGAGACGTCTTAATGTTGCTAGATCGCTGCTGCTTGTGTTGTCGTAGAGACCCGGCGGTGAATGTGATAATTGTTGCCAAGTATTAATACCATTCCATTTTGGAGGACCACCTCCAGCCGTTGATTGTGGGATAATTAATTGTTGACGTGTTGTTAAGCCTTCTACTTTTCGACTACCTTTTGTGGTGAAACTACTCCGCCCCCTACTATGTCGTCTACAGGTGGCATTTGTTCCGTTTGCAAGTTTCCAGGACCTGTAATGGTAGCATATATATTCACCTGA